ATAAAATCAGAAGGTATATTACAACAAATGAATGAATGAAATTACTAATAAAAAATGTAAATAGTTTGTGGTTCTGCTATTAAATTTATGTTGATTCATTTATATTATTTAAATAATTTATATTAATTTACTAATACAATGACAAACTATTGGAATCATTTAAATACTATTCTTAAATATTTTGCATTTATTTTTAAATATTTTTAACAATATATCATAATAATAATTCATTTATGAAGGTTAATATTCCTGAAACCTTGTATTACGAGCACGTCCTGTGTTTATTTTCTTCTTTATGATGAATCGCTTGTTGTATTCCTCAATTGTAAGTTGCTTTGGATAAAAGCGTCTGCTAAATGAATAAATTTAAATGTAGTATTATAATATTTTTTAGTTTTTATAGATTGCAGAAATTTTTTCATACAATAATGGCAAACAAGCTTATTACATGGTTCAAAAAATATAAAAAAAGCATGAGCATAATACTTTTTTTTTTTGTGCTATGACCTGGACGTTTTTTTTTGGTTCACCCATATATGAAAGATACAAACACAAGGTCAAAGCATGAACATGTAAGGTCACAGGTTTTATATACAGTATGTTTGGAGAAGAATGCATATGCATTCTGATGTCAGTCATTTCACATACACCTTGTCATATTTTAATATTTCACCTTCACAACATTGAAAGGAGTTATTGTCTCCTAAGATAGTATCAGATGTCAAGTTGTGTCTTGATACTGCTTGTTGTAGACCTAAATGATTTCAAACGCTACTTTATCATGGTAATGTAATGGGATATGATTGATAACAGTAACCGTAATGTTTGATGTCCTGTTCTATTGACTTTTCATTAGAAGTGTTTGTTTTGTACTCCTCAGTAAATCACATAAAGACTACAGCTCTACTGTTGCATCTGTAAATCTTGTAGCAGCTGTTGGTCCATCGTTTCATCTTTAGAGACAGCCTTTGTTTTGGGTTATGTTGGGCTTCTTTGTTTTACAGGAACACAGGCATTTCTTTGTGGAATGCAGTATTTAGATTCTCTTCTATAAATTATTTTCTTTGTGTATCACCAAACAGGTGTAGACTGTAATCGAGTCATCAGATAAATTATGTGTCTAGTCTGAGAAGCCTAGCCTTTAACTTGCTAATACTTCATTTAGATTTTAGCCCTCAAATTATCCCTCTACGAGCAATGATGACCTAATTAGTGCTGACAAAAGTATCACTATTACTAGTACTCATCCTTAGGGTTTGGGATTTGAGCAAACCACTAACCTCATTTATTAATTTTTGGAACGCAACTCGTCCCTGCATTGTTTGTGCTGTAGATATGAACTTGCAAAATGTAATAGACTTACACTGAAGGAGGCTTTAGAGACTTGTTTGTTTCGACTTGGGCCAGTAAGTAAGCAGCCCCTCAGAACACCCTATAGTAAACACATATCAATGTCTTATAGCGATCTATTTTTGTACAAGTAAGCATCACCCTATGATAAAAAGTTAAATCTAAATCAAATCTAGTCTAAATCCTGTAGTGTAATGGATTTTAGAGGAGCACCACAGGAATGTGCTATGGATTCTAGAGAAAATGCTGCTATCTTTCCAACTGACTTCACTACCAAAGAATGTTCTTTTCACATTAGTTAAGCTGTGAAATCTGGCTGGGATCTGGGAGCACTCTTTAAATCAATCTAGAAAAGGAGAATTTACTTCAATTTAATTGGGACAATTTAAGTATGATTGTAAATTTATTACTTTGGAAAAAGTTAGAAACTGTGTTAATATTGAAGGTGTGCAGCTTCAGATTTGTGAACAGGACTAATATATTATGGAGATGGTAAATGTACTGTATGTACAGCGTTCAAAGTTTTTTTGTTGTTGAAAGATGTCTCTTATGCTCACCAAGGCTGCATTTATTTGATGAAATGTATTCCTGTGATGCAAGTCTGAATTTTCAGCATCATTACTCCAGTCTTCTGTGTCACACGATCCTTCAGAAATCATATATGCTAACACTTATTATTAAACACTAGTTATCAAACTGTAATACATTATACATTATTAAACTGTGTGTAGAGTATAAGTATATATACTTGTTTTATTGTATTTAATCGTTCTTTAAAGATCTTGACTTATGGAGTGAAGAAAGATTCTCAGAACAGCTTTGTGTTGATGGATGGCAGATTTAGTGTGGCAGTACAGAGGCGGGATAAAGCTGTGGTTGATGTTCTTGCTCAACATAGAGAGATAAACTAAAACCATCTGCACTTGAATCTATGCACTTAAAAAAAGAAAGAAAGAAATCACAATATGGCACATAACCTTGGGGAGTAGTTTTGGCTTACAGATCAGTATTTTAATGATTTTCATAGCATAGTAACCTGAACCCTATACGCTGCATCTTTCAGTTAAGGCATAATGGCAGATTGAATGTGTAATTTAAAATAGACATTATATATAAAAGATACACCCTTCACCTTTAAGGCTCTGCAGTCACTGGTCAATGTACTTTTTTAAGTGGGTGCTCAGTGAGTGTTGGTGTGTAGAGCTGATAGTTAAGAACTCAGCTCTCAAAGAGAGGAACAGTGTTTTCCATTTAAAGCTATACAATGACATACTCAGAAACACCTCAAACAGTTGTACATCAACAGATAAGTGGATATTTTTATAATGCTATCTTTGTATTTGTCCTTTGAGTCATGTTCAAGAACATTCATAACAAGAAGAACATACATAAACGTTTTGTTTTCTATTTTAGAGAGCTTCTTGCAGAGCAAAATATGTTTGTAGTTCATAACATTTGCTTGCTTCTGTTGCTTCCTGTGAGCTATGATTTCCCAACAGTCTTTTCTAAAATCATCTGACATTTTTTGGTTCTTTGAAGGAAAAACAAGTCCTCCTGCACTGCAGTATGTTTATTTTTTTGTGAGTTCCAGATCTTTGCTTGAAGCCTGTCAACACAATGAACCCGACTTGCTTTAAGTCTGTCAGAAAAATAAATACAACTTTTATAAGATGTCCTCGCCTTTTCTGGGCCTGTATTTGGTTTAGAAAACCATAGAGAATGATCAAGGAACCAAGCCTTTTTCATTTTCATAGACTGGTTGGATGAAGGGACACTGAATTTTGTCAACCAGCTGGCATTTATAACGCCATAAGACTGGGCAAAATCACAGAGGTCATAACCGCTGTTAAAACTGCCACAGACGACAGTGGCTGTTCCCTGTCCAGACAGAGCATGCTTTGCTGAATAACACATTGTACTGATGCAGTAGGGCATCTGTTCATATATCAATCGCCTGATTTATATACCATTTTATTACTGAGAAAACTTTTTTTTCTGGACAGATTTATGAAGGGATACAATGAGATATCCAAAATGCCCTCTGTAAAACCTTTAAAGGGGTCATATGATGTTGCTAAAAAGAACATTAT